CCACCTCCTTTCATCACCCAGTCTTCAAAGAACAAAAGATCTGCCTTGCTCACACTACTTTAGCCATGGTCACTGCATATCATTCCCCAGCAGCAAAGAAATTTGTGGGAGCCAGTTAGATACTGAAGGATGAATTACTAAATCGTTCATGAATTGTATGCCTCTGAAACACATCAGTCCTGCAGCTTCTGCGTTTTGCTTAGTCTAAGATGCTAGAATGGATCTCAGTGTCCTAAAACAACTCAGTTTTGCCATTTAATTTGGCTGACTCAGGAATTCTGTGAGTTTCCCTCTGCTATGCTCATTATACTCCCCTCCTCTCTGATTTAGACTCAGTACAACTAACAAGGCTGCTGAGTAAATACCTCACCACAAAGTCTTCCTTGGCATGGGCAACACTCCAGAAAAAAAAAAAAGGCACCATGCAGATCTAGATTTTCACTATGCAATATCCAGTGCTAGGCACAGTGTGTGCACATCAGCCAGGACTTGAATCCACTGAATCTCAGGCCAAAACCCTGATGGCAGACCTGCCTTCCCTCTAACCACAGTCTGGCCATCACTAGGATTCGTGCACAAGACTACAACATCCTTGCAAAACACAATTGCAACATATTTCTTTCCTTACCAACCCAAATATCCAACTTCAATTACACTCCATAGCCACAAAGGAGATACTAAGAAAGTGGACATGATGAACAGCTGTCTGCACAGCAGGCTTGTTCCTGGTGATGTGTGGGCTACTGTTAAGGACAGTGTACATTGCACCACTCCTGGCATCAGTTCTCTTAGGTTCTGTGATAGCTGAAGAGTGGAACTTCTCTGCTAGCATCCAGCCTTTGACGGATTCTTCTGTTGATCCTGGTGGAAATTCCAAGTGAAGGAACATCTCACTGGGATTTCTGCTTCAAAAAGGCATGGGAAGGCACCTCACGCCCTCTGTACAGGTTAGGAGTACTGTGGGTTGGAGGGAACCCTGACTCTTAATTTTGCATCATGCTTTTTTGTATCAGGAGATACCAAAGATGCTTCTAGAAGATACCACGTTAGCTGGTCTTCCTTGCAAAATTGACAGCCATATCCTCGCGCTGCTAGTTACAACTAGGAGACTCAGTAGGGACCTTAAGACTAGGACGTTTTTGTCATTAGTACTAAGGTTTTGCCACTGCTGCAACCATATGTGAGACATTTTCAGCCAGCTTCAAATGACTTGGTACATCTCCATGCCACAGGTCCCATTATCTCACAGCACAGCACCATGTTAACAAGCCTATACTGTGCCCACTTCCAGCAGAGGCATTGCCACATGATCCTGAGCATACTAACAAATTTGGCATTACTTGCTGCAGGCAGAGGGTCTTCTCTAAGGTGGCATTGCCTTGCTTAGTATAAATACATATTTTGAACCTCACATTTGCCAATTTAATGACTTTTACGTATAATCTCTTGAAACAATACCTTTCTCAGGCACATATTGTGCAGAAATCCCTCTCTTGGTGTATCATAGAGCAGTATGAGGGCTGTGAGACATCCAGTTACGCATGAAACTGAAATTGGCTCTGAGTCCCAGTGATTTTCCATCTTTTCCTCACACCTTCTGCATCCACCATCCTAATGCTTCCTCTCCCTCTCCCAGCGTCATATTCAATTGGGGATTAAGTGTTTCCCACCATGTGTTAGCCAGATAGATCAGCTTTACATCCTAAGCACCCCTCACCTTTGGATGAGATTTTATATCTGAACCTCAACTCCAATCCAAATCTGCAGGTTGTGCCTATCTGAACATCTCCAGATACTGATAGACTCAAATCAGAGTCCAAATTGATTCTAGGGTGACTTCTGTTTTTTAAAATGGAGTTGATTAAAATCTTTTGAATTGTGAATATTTGGAAGACAAACACAACAGTGTGGCACAATGAAATTTTATTTGTCTTTTTTAAGAGCTGGTCAAAATCTTAACATGTAGACTGAAAAACAGTTCAACCAAAAAGTGTAAGAAATTGTAATAAACAAAGAATTCCTGTCATTCTTCATCATGTGATAATGTTGTTGCTAACATCAAGAATCTTGTGTAAGTGCTGAACAGTAGAACAATCCTCTACTGGAAATTACATTGGAATGTTTTTGGTATCCTCTACCAAGTCATATGCAAATGTAGAATGAAATTTTAGAGGCTAAAGACATTTAAAAAGACAAAGATTATTTTCTTAAATAATTTATCTGGAATATATTAGATGTTAAATAACATCATCTAGCACAAAATGTGATCAGTTGTACCATATTTGTTCATGATCATACAGGTTAGAAATCCACAAAACACTAAGAAAAAAACTGACAAAAAAAAAAAATCTTTGGTACATAGATCTAGTCAAATACATGCTGAACATGAGAGTAGGAAGCTTCTAAATGGAAAGGAAAACAAAGAAAGCACTGATATAAACCAAAAAAATAACAAGAAGGGAAGCTTTTTAGGATAGAAAATATAATAAGCATGTTACGTTACAAAGTTGCCAGGTTTTCTTTCCCTTTCCTGCACAGTAACTCTGCTCACAAGATATTTTGGCTTGCCTTGGTGACATGTGTTTCCTCGGATACCAAGTTGCTGATAGCACCACCACACCTCGCCCATAAGTGCTCTGATTTACTTGGGCTAATTTATCCTGCTGTAACTCCCAGCAAGTCAACAGAAAGCTAGGAGAAGGACTTGGCTCATTACCTTTGAGGCGCTGCGCAGAAGAGGCTGTGACTCCATTCACTGACATCAAAGCAGGCAGATGAGGGGAGAAAGCAATACTAATTTCACAGACCGTGCAAAAGACTCTTAGTGCATTTCCACTCAGCTGCTCTCCAGTGCAGTCCTCAGCCCTGATGGCTCAGAAATGCAGAAATAACAAACCTGAAGATTAGCAATGTTCAGAAACAAAGTGAAATCACCATGAACCCTTTCAGCTTTTTTGTTTGGGTTTGATTTTTTTTTCTGTTTTGGTCAAAATCTGTCCACTGGCACACCTATATCCTACAGCACCAGCCTTGGATGAGGTGAGCTGTGTTCCTGTCAGACCTTGGTCTTTGTCAATGCACAGGACAGCCTAGTACACGCTTAGCAAAGAACCAGCCCTGGTTTCTTTGGTGCACCTGTGGTTGGTGAGGCTTTAAAAGGCAGCTCCGCTCTGGGTGCTAAATACCCTCATGCAGAAGGACTGTACATTTTATGTTCGCAAACCCTATCTCTGCTTCCTGAAAGCAGGTCATTATCTCATGAATAAACAGAAACATCCTAAGGACTTGCCGTGGCACATGGAAGCTCCATTTCCTCACCAGTGGTGAATAGTTTTCTTTTCTAAGCATTGAAGTATGCCTTGGTCCACATCGAAATCAAAAGAACCTGTGTCATTGGGAGCAGAATCTGACCAGGAAGCACTTCTACTTAAACCTAGTGTTATTCTTCTGTTGCTCTAGACAGCTTTATAACTTGCATGAGCAGTCCAGACCTTTGCTGGCACAGGTTGTTAACTCAGTCAGGAAATTAAATTGATTTGTGGGCAACAACCCACGATGGTCACTGTCATTAAACTCCTTTTTATCCTGCTTATCATCTGAACACCTACAGCATGTTGGCTGGCATTCCCTACAGGGAACTGACCCGCTGAATCAAGTGGGAGACATTTACACCAATTTCTTTGTCCTTCCTCCATCAACCTATTGGGGATGATGTCCAGATGGAGGACCCTCACCTACAACAGGCGAAAGTGGGGAGTTTAAAGGCAGTCAGCTGGGTACGCAGGCAGCATGCTCCTAGTCTTGCCCATGGTCTTGGTACCCCACCAGAGGCAGACATCAACCCAACTTCACACAGCCCAGTGTCACAGCACCAGGGGCTTACAGACAGCAAGGATGTGTGCAGCCCGGTTCCATCTCCTGCGGCAGCAAAAGCAGGACTGATTCAGGAACTTGAAGCCCAAGACCCATGGCACACAGCCCTGTGCCAAAGGGGCACCACAGTGCACCAGTGGTGCGTGCCTGGGACCTTCTGCCAGGCCCAGCTGCTCCAGCTGCTTCTGTACCCTGGCACAGGAAGGAGCATGGCTCACTGACTTTTCCATGAAGGTTTTCACAGTGCATCACTGAGGCCTTTCTCCTGGGACCTCCCTCCCAAAACAGGACATCCCCCATTGCTACAGCTGTTGAAGAACAAAGACACTTAGCCACCAACCTATTTGATGGGTTTTTAAGGCAGCTGGAGCAGAGCTGACCAGTTTCCTTCACATGCACACTGTCACTGCTGTGGAGGAGGTTTACTCTGATTCTTGAACCCACTGAAACTCATCTATAACTATGTCTTCTTTTTTTTTAAATTGGCATTTTTGCTTTAACCTAATGTTTAATTTTGTTTAATAGCATTTTGCTCTGACACTAGGGATCCCTCCAGTCTGACACAGAAAGATGTAGCCAGGTTCAAGGGCTAGGACTCATATTTTCAAAAAAAATAATCAAGCTGGAAATAAGATCCGCAGGCTCAAGAGTGAGTGCAGTTAGCCCCTGGAAACACTGTTGAAGAACTGTGGCAAATATCTTATCTCTAAAAATCTTTCACTACCAAGGCCAGATGTCCATCTTGGACAAATTTTGTGGTGCAGTCATCATTCTTGAGCTCAGTAGTGCTTCCTCAAAATAGCATGGAAGAATGATCTGTTTCCCTTCCAGAAACACTAGATGAATTTCAATGGCCTGATTTATGGAGGAGATCAGAGCAGAAGACCCTTCTGGCTTGACAGAACTTGTAGTCCCTCCCACGTTCCCAGGGGCTACAAGTTCTCTGTCTGGTCTTCCAGGCTGTTGGCTGACCAAGGGTTTCCTTTCCTATTAAATAAAAATGTATACCAAATAAAATGGTAATAAATATCAATAAATAATCACTGTATATAAAGGAGCAACCCACAGATTCTGCAAAAAGAGAGGGACTATCAGACTAACACCAGGACTGCATGTCTTATTGTCTGCTAAGGAGATGACGTTTCTGACCAACATTCTACTATATTGCTGCTCATGCCAGGAGAGGAGACACCACAGTTTTCAATCAGAGTCAGCTCCTCCATGCTTTGCAAATGTGGGGCTTGCTGGAAGAAGCCCAGGATGCTGCCCCGTGCTGCCACTGCCGTTTGCTGCAGGCCTGGCTCTCCCAGGACCTTGACAAGAAAGTTGATGTATCTCATAGCTAACCGGAGTGTCTCATTCTTGCTCAGTTTTTTGTCTGGCGGGTGGGTGGGAATGAGTTTTCTCAGCTTGGCAAAGGCGCTGTTGACATTTTGCTGCCTCCATCGCTCCCTGGTGTTGGTGAAGATCTTCCTTGTCATTCTCCAGGTGCTGCAAAGCAAAGGACATGGTTGTTGAATGCTAGATAACCCTGGCTTTCATTCAGGCTGCTTCTTTTGGAGGCACCATAACCTCTGGGCCAGCTGCAAGCACACAGTGGTGGTGCTAGGCGTTTCTAATTTTTGCCCTCTGTGGCTGACACCCTTGCCCTGCATGTCCTGCACAGGTTCACCCTAATACTTAAAGTCATGTCCCCATTCACAACCATGATCATAAGCATTGCAGCTGCAATCAGATGCCAGAGTCCAGTAAGGACTCCACAAAGGATTACATGGAGTTTAATTTCCTCATACAGCCCTTTAGTGCTGCTATGAGCCCAGCCTCTCCAGGGTCCTGAGAGGTCCCCTGTAGCAGAATTCCCAATAGTTAATGCATTAGTCATTCCACTAGGCTACATGAGGGACACCAGGGCACTTTTTGTGGTGGAAGGCATGCAGACAGGCAGGCCCAGGGCAGAACACATCCATGCTTTCACGGTCCTTGCTCACACCTTCTTGGGGGCTGTTTCCAGCTGGTGCAAGCTTGGTCACTCATGTCTGGGGCTAAGCCAGGTGGACCTTCACCATGGGCCTTCAGTGAGCAGACAGCCAACACTATGGACACACATGATTATGGTTATTTCAGGAGACTTCTCCAGGGAAGCAACAGTCTGGTTTCCTGCCCCACACACACTGCTCACCACTGGTGTCAGAGACTTTTCAGTTCAATCCATTCAGGCTTCTGCTTTAGTCTCTGAGAGCCGCCAAGACTAAGCCACAAGTGTCATAAGTGCAGGCTGCAGAGGGAAAGTGTGATTCCTACAAAACGTGCAGGCATCCCAGCCAAAATGCCCATGTAGGTGTTCCTTGTCCACCCTGCCTCACAGAGCTGAGCAGCAAAGGGAACCCAGTGCCCAGAGCAGACCTGGCAACAGAAGAGAGCTGTGCAAGGGGCACAGGGTAATTTTAAATGCTGTTTACCAGAAAAATCCATCAAAAGCTCTTGGGGTTGCCCCAACCCTGATCCAACCACCATTGGAAAGAGTCTTCCCTTCTGTTCCACAGCCCTGCAGGAGACACTCACTCCTCCATTTCTGAAGCTGCTTTTTATTCCAATGGCACGCAGACAGTTGGAGCAGGAAAAAACTATCTGCAGCCAAGAGACTAAAGGACAAATGTTTCCACTTACCCTCTCATGCATGTAGAGCCTTCAGCTTTTTATATTCATTGGCAAACCCATGCTTACAGCAGTCCCACAGGGGACTGGGGAGCAGGGGGGATAGCACCCTTCAACCTCGGAAAGGGGAAAATTTGGGGTGACAGCCCAGCTGTGATCCCATGTCCATGTGAAGAAGCCTCATACTGTGCAAGACACTCGGGGTTCACCAAAGTATGTGGTAATAGTCCGGGTGAATAAAGAAATCCCTCTGTGACTCAGAGGTTAATTGGGGTGCCCTGGCAGGGAGACAGGATATGCATGGCAGATGGGGAAGTTCCTTCCCAGCTCCTTCAAGTCCCAGGCCAGCACTGATTACAAATCACCAGGGAAACACAGTAACAGGGTCGTAAATTATGTCACAGCCATGTTCAGAAGCCTCAGCCAGAGATGCAGCTAATACAGATGCACCCATGTATACTGTATATAGCTACACCCATGCCACCCATAACTCCCAGGGTCCTCTCGGCCATAGCCTTTACAGAGCTAATACATTTCTATTTTGGTAGAAGTCTGAAATTACTGTCAGGCCCAGTTGTCTACTCTGTCTTTAGGGGATGAGAAAGCTGCCTTATCAAAATGTCCTTGCTTCATGAAACTCTCATTTAAAAACCAAACTCTTGTATTTCAAGCGGCTGACAGTTTTTCATATTTTTTGTAGACTTACATTGAGAACCATTGCTTGATCTCAATGGGGATTGTATCTCTCTTTTTTTATTATTCTCCTACTCCATGTATTACTTTTTGTTTGTGCTATGGGAACAAATATACTTGGTACTTTGCCCCTACCTGAAATAGCTAGCATGTACCTTTTGGCAAGAATTCCACAATTCTGCCGCATCAGTGATACAGATTTTAAACATTGTCTTCCAGTGCTCCTTTCTACTGTGGTGCATTCACTCCCCAAGGCAAAACTTTCACCTTTACAGTTTTTATTCTTCCAAAGCAGCTGCTTGGATCCATGTGAAATTCAGAGTATCACCTGCTTGTCTCTCTCTCTCTCTCCTGTTTTTGGTGGTTTGGGGTTTTTGGGTTGGTTTGTTGTTTTGTTTTTTTCTTGGGGGGGTGGTGTTGGTTTTTTTAAGAAAAATTTATGCATGTACAAAGACATTTGTTTTTTATAACATAGGGATAGTTATTTGGGCTTCCTTGTTTTTTCTAATCGGTCAGGTAGATTGCATTTTGCCAGGTCTTTCAGTCTCTGCGCCGTAGTTCTAGTACGTGAGTCTGGGTTTGCTGCATGCCTGTTTACATTTCAGCTACAAATACCAACAGAGGGTCAGCTCTTTCTCTTTTTCCCTGCGCAGCACTCCAGGAAAGCAGGTTAACATCCAGCCCTGGCACTGTGAACATGTCATATTGTCCCGTTAGTGGTATTATTGGTGGAAAAATAAACCCAGCCTAGTCCTTCACACCATGCTTTCTTTGTCTGCCTTCTCTTGCCTTTGGAAAGGACAATACTACATTTGTGGTCACAAGCCTTGTCAGCAAACAGATGCCTTTGTGAGACCAGCTCCTGCTTTACACTTCAGAAACATGTGTTTGTATTTCTGATATTTATTCAAGATCAGCAAACACCAGCTCCTCCCCTCCACCAGTGCCTCCTCTTGCACTGATAGCTCTATGGGGAGCTTCATTTCAGGTGTAATCCACCTCTGTACATCTCTCCATCTTAAATTCCTCTATCCTTTCTGTTGTTGTGCTCAGAGTTTTAGCTAGAAACATAAGAGAAACCTGAGCCTGGTCCAATCCTGCAGTAATGGTAATGTTTCAGCACAGCTTCTTTTCTTGTATCATCACCTTCACATCCCTCTAGTTCTCTGTAACCACAGCACCTTCCAGTTAAAATGCAGTGAGTTTATTGACAAGGGATCTGATTTCCATTCCTTTTGTCTCATTCCCTTCCTCCTCTTCCCTCACCTCCAACCCTCCCCACCAAGCTTGGCTTTCAACATGATATTACTCGCAGCTTCAGGTCTTAGCTAATGTTGCACATCTAATCAATGTGTTCTTTAGCTTTCTCTAGTGCACTGTATAAAATATGTATTGTCTAGTGGCTCCATGGGCCTTATATCCCACTGGTCCATTTTAAATTTGTGCAGAAATCACCTGTTTGTACATATCATAGATTGACAAGTTGCATTAAACTACAAGCCTGGATTTTGTGCTTTCTGGTCACCTCCCCTAACCACAGGTTAACAGCGCCACATTCAGCTGACAATAAAGAAACCCAGGAAGACATCAGTTTCAATTCAAGAGGATTAATACTGCTCTCAGGAATGTAAATGTGCAAAGTTACACCATCTCACTGGAGGAATTACTCTGAAGGGCAAAATGTTGCCACTGAGGACAGGATTTAACTTGGATCAAGAAGACACATCCAGAAGTAGTGGGTAAGTACAGTTTCATGAACTAAAAGCTGTATCTGCAGTGCGTAAAGAGAATTGTGCAAATAAATAACCCTGGGCCTGCAGTGAATCTGCTCCAACAGCTAGAAAGTGTAAAACCAAAACACCACCACCCACCAAACAGGTAACTCAAGCTTCTTCCACCCCCCTGCCTACCCCTTTGAAAAATATAAAAAGGGCAGGGGCATGTTTAATACTGACTGTGGTTAATGTAGCCACAAGTGTCACCAGACAAAGGCTAAACAATAGAAAAGATGAAGATCTTTCCCTCGGTAGCAGCAGTTCTTACAGCCTCTCTTTGCAAAAGCCATTCAGGCAATTCAGGCAGCAGCAGCAGCAGTAGAGCAGCTTAGGCACCAACCACCATCTCTGCTAGGACATTCCCCAGCAAACGGCCCCTGAGCCAGCGGTTAATGTCTGAGGGCTAGCAGGGGACTTGCTGGGAGCCCAGCATTCAGTCATAATTAACAGGCTGCTATTAAATAAAGATCTTGGATGAGAAAGTTCCTCCCTCAAGTTATACCTTTGACCTCAGTGAAGTTAAATCCATGTTGAAACTGGCCACTGGAGACTCACTCCTGCAAATCTTAATCAGACAGCTGATGTCTGCTGCTAGCAAGAATTGGAGTGCTTCTAATAAACCTGCAGTGCCACACTGTTACTGCACCAGGGAAACCCAGTATCTGCTAAAATTGGTTATTTTACACAATACATTGGATTTTGTGAAGTCCCCTCAGCCCTTAAGTAAATGGCAACAGAAGGGCAGATGGTGCCTGTTTCCTATATCAGGCAGGTGCTTGCGAGCCTGATCTACCACAGGGAGCAAAGATTCTCCAGCTATCACTCCTCGCTGCTGTGCTTTGTTCACTTTGCATCAGTGAGATCTGGAGAAGAGGAGAAAGAGGAAGCTCATTGTTTCCCTCTTCTGTTTCATATGAGCCTTGGAGTGTGAGACTCAGCTCTGTGCAAAGGGACAGATTGAACATGGGTGTCACAAGACACTACACTGCCTATCCATAATGTGTGAGGGTTTTTTTGTCACCCCACCCACGAGGAATAAGCTTGAATTTATCCCAGCTTCCCTGCTTGCAAGAGGAGCAGCTCACCTCTGAGTACAGGATCTTCCCTCCCAGCTGTCCTCAGCCCCTTGTCTCCATCACCACCTCCCTGTATCTCGGCACTATACCCCTCCCCAAGTGCATCCCACCTGAAATCCCACAGCTATGCTGGTGGACAAGGACACAAAGAGAGACCACAGTGCAGTGAGTGGAACACTGGGCTGGCAATCAGGGAATTGAACTTCTGTCCTCATTTCTGCTGTTCCTTTGCCTCAGGCAAATTCCTTTTTTTTTTTTTTTTTTTTTTTTTTTGATGCACCTCCTTGTCCCTCCTGTATGTAATTAGTTTGTCCCAACTGCAAGGTTTGTGGAAAGGAAAGTGTGCGTGCATGCGTGTGTGTGTGTTAGATCAGCTGCCAGCACATGGTGGGCCACCGTTGCTCGGTGTTGGTAGGTGCTGTGTTTGTGTAATGAAAGAGAAGAGCCTTTCCCAGCTTTCACAGGGTGATTCCTAACACCTGCAGTGAACTTAAATTTATTTCAAATAAGATGTGGGAAGAGCAGCTACTTCAGGAGTAAACAAGGGCTCCTTTCACTGCCTCCTGCCTCAATCATACCACAGTACAAAGTACAGCAGAGCAGCAAAAGTGCTATAAAAAATAGTCAGCACTGACATAGTGATTTACCTTTTTCAGAGTCTGTAAATCTGGGACAAAACATACATAGTGAAAATTCTGCTTCTGGGAGCCCTCCTGTCTAAGGGTAGCATTTACAGAAACTCTCACAGCTACAGCGTGCTCTCATTGAACCTTTAGAAAAAGGAAATCTCTGGAGCCTTCAAAAGCAACTGTGTAAAGATCTCAAGCTTAAGTCAGCCTTCATGTTTGGTGATACTAGTCTATATGCTATCATGGTTTCAAAAGGCAAGTTTTGCACTTGACCCAGTGTTGCCCCTGGGTTGCTTAGCTTTGTAATCTGGTTGCCCTGCCAGAGAATGCAGATCCAGAGTGAGGGAGAGAGCTTGCTGCTTTCTGAGAAATTGGCCTAGCCTGCAGACTTCATACCCTGGGCACCATAGCATCACATCCCCTAAGGCTGCCTCAGGAAAAGTAGGTCTGTAAAGCAATGCGCTGCCACCCAGCAGGCATTTGGGAGAGCACAAAATGTGTGGTTAAGGAATTACCAATAGTGATGAAGAGGTTTTACTCAAGGAAACTCCCTCTGCATGTAGGAGTGGTTTTGGCACTGTGGGTTTGTGGGTTGTTTTTTTTTGTGGCTCCCCTGTTGTCAACGCTTTTTATGTTCCTTTGCAGTAAAGTCGAAGTATACCACAGATTTGTACAAAACAAAGAGCCCACTCATGGGCTGCAACAGCATTTGCTAAATGGAGGTCTAGCGTATTGGCATGTACATGACAGCTTGCAAAGCTGAGAAAGGAACACTCCGCTAGAAGATTTAGCCTTTATTCACTAAACTTGCACTTGTGTTATTTTCTGTTCAAGAAGGTCTGAGATTCTTTTTCAGAATAGTGCTTCTCTGTCCTCCTAATCCCATCTGCAGTAAGGCCCTCTTGTGTCAAAACTACAGTTCCGGTGTGTCTCCTTTAAAAACAGTCTCTGCCAAATTAGCTTCCGAAGTATTACATACAGACACTGTTCCTGTGCTTCAGGGTTAACACAGAGAAGAAAATCAGCTTGGTGGTCTTCCAGGAGTTCTTCAGGGACTCATTTTTTTCCAGACTCAGTGTGCAAAACCTTGTTCCACAGAGATACTTACTCCCACCTCGTAATGGGACATATTCCTGCATGCCTGTCTCTGCATCTGCCACTACGAGGCAGTAAGGTAGCTGTTAATAGCAAAAACATGACCATTTGCTTTAACTTCCTAGCCGTGCCTGCCTATGTAGGAATGTCCACATCCTCCTTACTGAAGGTCTCTTGTGTAAAGAAGGAGGGGGGATTAGAAGCTGCATGTGTCACAACTTGGCAAAGCCCAGTCTGCAGCAGCTCATGCTGTTACAGGAGTTGTTAGGAGCAGGGAAGGGAAAATTCAGTGCTGTAATGGACATTTGCATCAGGGGCTAGGTAGATCTTGTATTATTTCTGGATATGACCCCCAGACAATATTTGCTTTTGCATTTTATCCAGGTCAGCTCTGAGCTTGATAACACATCTCTCTGGACTTCAGCAAAAGCAAGACTGAAAGTTTGACAGCTTCCTGATAGCGGTATGCAGTGCCCTGTCTTCCTACCAAATACAAGTTAAAACCAGTCTACTGACCACCATGGCATCACCCCAGGAATTAACTGGGTCTGCTGTGCCTAAGACAAAAGGTCACCGTAAGCCCTGAGAAACATAACCACCACAGCAAATCATGACTTCCAAAAGGGTAACACAAGCCACTGCATGACAAGGACTACAATCCTGTTTTCCCCTAAATGTCATGCTGCTAACCTCTGTGGGGCTATGTCTGGTAGAAAGATCAGCGTGAAGATCATCCCTTCCTCGACAACACTCTCATGGGCACCCGCATGTAGTCCCCAAGCCTCCCACCTTGCATGCTGATTCTGTGAGACTTAATTTCCTGGATCAGCTGCTCATATCACAACTACTTCAATGATTTATGTAAACAGGCAGTAAACCAAACTGCATTTATTTTAATTTATTTTAGCTTTTTTTTTTTTTTTTTTTTTTGGTGAAACGCTATAGAAACTCATGGGAAAAGGTTCTAAAACTCAGATATCATCCTATACCTTTATATGGAAATGAGGAAGGATAGAGAGAGCTACTTCAGAAAAATGCTTGGTTTATTGTTTATTAACTTTCTCAGGCAAATACAGCTTTATGCAGCAGGCAAGCCCTGGAAATACAAACATGTTCTAGATTAGCAGTTTCAAAAGGTTTTTTTACAAATCTAAGAGTTATTAATATTTACCAGCAGAACTGGAATGAATAGAATTACTAAGCTTTTCCTCCTAAGTGAACTATAGAACTGAGCAAAATTCAAATGCTTATGTATTTTATATATGTATCAGCTGTAAGACAGATGACCAATAAAGCAGAGAGGATATTTTTAAATAGGTGAGGATTGAAATTTAAAACTGTTTCTTTACATCTTTACCTGTTGACGCAGTCATTGAATTTCTGCAGTCTAGTGCATAAGCATACAGTAAAGTCTAACGAATGTGTGATTACCTGTGCTTTCACAAATAATTTGTTTTAAATATCAAACACCATTGGAGAATTCTGTTCAGTTTTAGTTCTAAACTCAGAGAGTTTATGATGCTCTGTGTAATCATTTTGCACAGTGTAATAATTCTGATATACAGCACTTTGCAGTGGTATAATTGAGTTTGCCTAGTGTGTAATTGTACAGTTGTGAAGTAAGAAAACCTAGAAATAGTAGGAACAGTGATTTTAAAATCACCTCAGTTTGCTCCGCATCTAAACATCAACATTTCTTTCAGTAATATAATCAATTAATCAGACCTCATGGCATGAGGTCTGATTCACTGAGTCCGTGTGGATACTAAGAATTTGAAAAGTCCAGGCACAGAAATAGGACAACATAGTTCCTTCACCTGATTAAACACAGCCACCTGTAAGCAGCTGTTTCTGTAACTATTCTGTTTGTCAGATCAGGTGCCTTACTCTTAATTTTTTGATGACAAGATCCAGAGATGCCATGATAAGAAATAAAAATCCAGCAGATGGTAAAAGGCTATTGCAGAAATTCCTTCCTTTAAGGACATTCCCTGCTCTGAGAGGAAACTTTGTCATTCCTAAGAAAGTTGCAAGATAAGCCCAAAAGAGGGGAGGAAATACTGTAAAGAGAAGAGGTCATTGTCACTTACTTTTCTGGTCACAGGTGCCTGTGGCTCTTGAAACCTGGTCAGCGGGTGAATGGACAGCAAAATCTGATGCTTCCTATTTTCTTTCCCAACTGCTCTCACAATGCCTGGCTGCAGAGCTCGCTCTCGCTGGAGTCAGCCTAGCACTGGTCCTGGCTGCCTCATTTATAGAGTAGCAGGTCCTTTGTCTGGCGCGTGTCACCACTAGTCCTAGCAATCCAGGGAGCTTGTTTTGCATCTCCCAGGAGATTCTGTCTGTCCTGCCTTTTCTCTTCTCACCACACGCCCTCTGCCCTTCTCTGGGGCTGGTATGGGGCGGTAGCTGAGACCATGCTTACTAGCCTTAGACCAGCTCTGGCTAGGTAGGTGCACTTTGCAGGAAAGGATGGAAGCTGCTTGGGGCAAGAACCTAATTTTTCTATATTACTTTTCTTCTTTTGGGGGGAGATTTTTTTTTTTTTTAATCTATTTATTCAGCTCTGAGCTTGTAAATGTTTCCAGAGACACAGATGCAGTGCTCATTCAAAAGCCAACTTTAACACAACTGAGTACTGAGGAACAGGCTGGTATTTATTGTATTCCTAAGCTGGAGATTCCCTTTCTGCTCTGACAGTAAGTGCGGTGAGGTTGTGGGGGTGACCACATGCAGGCATATCGATCCTGCGCTATCTTTTTTGGGGAAAGCTCCTTTTCATTTAGAGTCACGGCTAGCACCTTCTGCAGCCTGGAGGACGGCTACAGCTGCTGCAGTTTCAGCACTGCCCCAAGGTCTGTGCTGGCCCTCTGCCTGAGTCCGTGTGACAACAGGAGGCTGCAGGTGTGAATTCACACATCTACCAGCTTGTCCTTCACTTCAGGGCCCATTAAGTGCACCAAGGGCAGGTTTAATTCATGATTTTACTGCAAAGATGAGCCAGCTCCATACCTCTTTGGCTAGGACCTCGGGTCAGTGAAACAGAGACTTCTTTCTCCATTGCTGAGGTAGGTCCAAAACTTACTCTCAGGTCTGGGAAAACAAGCAAGCAAGCTCACATCTGACTGCAAAAAACCCCCAAAATTGCAGACTAACACCATCTCTGTCACTGGAGCACATGCTTCTGCATCTGCGACACACTAGTCCATGCAGACTCCTCCTCTCCCCGAGCAACACCTCTCTTCATAGGAAAATGGTCACAAAGTTACCCCAGGCACAAGTCAACGAGGACAGAGCCTTGTTACAAACATACAAAGGCTTTATGACCCATGTGACCTCGCCAGCACCTCCATCCGCTTCTCCATTAGATGCGGGGAGTTTGCTTTGGGTGGAGATGAGAGTAAACAGGCAGAACAAGAGCAAGGTATCTAGTTACATGCTGGGAGCAATGGCATACTAAAGGAGAACAAGGGATGGGGAAGGAGGAGCTGCAGCTAATCACCCCACTACAGCCATGGGGCAGGAATACACTTGTATCCAGGGTCAGGCAGCTTTAAGCATACTGTTTGGCTTTCCTCTGCCAAGCCTCAAGAAAGCTCAGCTCTTACCCAGACCACTTCACCGAAAACAACAAGCTGGCTAGGTAGGGCTCACCTACCAGGTTTTTAAAAGTACTGTGAATGTTTCAGTTAACAGGATTGCCTCCATAAATATTAACAACCCAGAGGTGGTTGCTGCCCAGGGAAAAAGAGCCCCAGGTCCCTGCCTGGGCAAGTTGTTCCCCACAGAGCTTGACTAGAGGTTCAACCCTTTCACATGGTAAATTAACAGCGGCACTACAGCCTGAAAGCTGTGTCAACCGCTTCATTTAGCACAAGTGTTATGTTAACTAAAGGCCCGATTCCGCAGGGGCCTTTGGCCTCACAGAAGCCTAATTTCCATATAATTTACATTGGAAAGTTACAGAATGCCCCTCCTCTCTTTTAATTCCTGCATTATTTCCCCACTATCTGCCCAGAGATGCTCCAGCCAGCACAGTAGGGAAGGGTGCATGCCAATCCTGAAAGGCGGGGGAGCTAAAGCTCTTTATCCCTAACTGCTTGGATACAGCCTAGGCTTTCAAAACCTGGCCAGATGAAGCACTATAAAATGTACAGCCTGGAAAGTGTCTGTCCTTGCAGGGAGAAGGGCTGGATAAGCTGCTATTCATTCTCCACATATCCACACAAGAGGGACGGATTCTGCTCCCGTTGCTGTCAGATACAGGGTTTAACTGTGCCCTCTCCAGAGGCAGGCTCATGGCAAGATACCTGCCTCACTGGGGAAACATGAGGAGAAGAAGAGGCATCCTAGCCCCCATCCATGTACTTCAGAAAAGCCACCACCACATCTATTTAATGTTTCAGCCACATCCCAAGGTCTCCTCATCTCCCTCCTGTTGTACAAGGAAATTACTGAACACCTCTGTGGCAGCCCAGCTGAGGCTGTGCTACCCACAGCACCCAGGAGGTCCTCACATTCCCCCCACTCTCCTGCTCTCCACTGTCCCCTGGTGCCCTGCAGCCCAAACTCCTTTCCTCCTCTGAGAGGCCACTGCAGCAAAGCTCTGTGTCTGCTGCAAGCACAGTGGCACTTTCTCCTGTGCTGTTGGGAGATGGCGTGACCGACTGTCAGGCCTTGGGCAGGAGGTCCCGGTATTGGTGTCAAGTCATTGGGAATGCTGATGAGGTAGGATGAGCGTGCTGACTTCTATGCCAACTTTAAGGGCCTTTTCCACCTTGTTGGATTGTTCTGACGGGGTTGTACGAGGGTCTGCTTCACTGTCTCTTTATTAAGCTTCCTATTGAACTGTGATTACTTGGCACTGATGACCCACACCAGTCTCATTCAGTTTCCTCTCCATACCTGGCAGTGATGACATGGTAGCAGGGGGAATACATTATCAATACATTCCTGAAGCCCTGGGATTACTTTTCCCTGGAGCAATCCATAATTGCCAGGATAGTATAGCTCAGCCAAGGGCAAGGAGAGGGGAACAAGCAGTGAAAATAATATTGTACCCTGGGCATGCTCTTTCTCACAAAAATATCTGCTGGGATCCATCCGCACAGTTTGCTTGGAGTCTGGGATGGTTCTTTACCTGCAATGGGTCTGGTTTTTAGCAGCCACCAGTTATCAGTTCATGCCGAGTCAAGGGGAAACAATGTATTTTGTGACTTGCACTCTGCTTCCAGACTGCAATTGATATTAGCATGTTTGCCTGTGTGTGCTGGTTTTGGCTGGGGTAGAGTTAATTTTCTTCATAATAGCTGGTATGAGGCTGTGTTTCGGATTTGTGCTGGAAACTGCTAATAACATAGAGATGTTTTAGTTCCTGGTGAGCACTGCTTACACAGAGCCAAGGCCTTTTCTGCTTCTCACCCCATCCCACCAGTGAGTAGCTGGGCGTGCACAAGGAGTTGGGAGGGGACACAGCTGGGACAGCTGACCCCAAATGACCAAAGGGATATCCATACAATATGGCATCATGCTCAGCTTATAAAACTGGGGGAAGAAGAAGAAAGTAGTGATGGCATTTGTCTTCCCAAGTAACCATTACATGTGATGGAGCCCTGCTTTCCTGGAGATGGCTGAACACCTGCCTGCCCATGGGAAGTGGTGAATGAATTCCTTGTTTTGCTTTGATTGCGTGCACATATTTTGCTTTAATTATTAAACTGTCTCTATCTCAACCCACAAGTTTTCTCACTTTTCCAATTCTTTCCCCCATCCCACCCAGGGGGAGCGAATGAGTGGCTGTGTGGGGCTAAGCTGCCAGCTGGGGTTAAACCACAACATCGTGTAATGGCCACATTTTCCCCTCCTCAGATACTTGTGTCACAAAGTAGAGTCCCAGTGCCCTTACAGCACTGACAAGGAGAGGAGGACGGGAACACTGCATGTGTAAAAGGGGTAACTAAGGACATACCGCTGTTGTGTTTTCAGATGCAGAAACCACTGTTTGATTGCAGCAATGCTGTTGGGCCCTTGCTTAAATGCAGACCCACTCTGCCAGGCAGGTTCTTCCCGGCAGAGAGACATTCCTTGGCAAGTTTGATGAAACAAAAACAGGGAGAGAAAAGAAAATGTAGTCTCAGCCCTCTCACGGGTAAGAACTGAGGCTGAAAAGGAGAACAGGTACAGACCCCCTCCAGCGGACACAGCCTTTCCCATTTCTGCTGTCATGCCCAGCATGTCCACTCACCAGAGGCAGTGCTGAACTCACATTTAGTGCACTTACTTTCTGAAGAGCCACTCCTCAGTCGGTTCATCAGCTTGCCTCAACACCACAGATACAGGTAACAGTTAAAACTGGATGAAGCAACAGACTGCCTGTATTGTCAGTCATTTATGCAACAGCATTTATACGTGTGGCTTTACAAAGTGGAAGATGTGAGAGTTGGCTGCCATGAAGAAGTCAAGAACATGTGGTGTGACCATCCTCAAAACTGGCTTTCTCATGTCCCTTTTTGAAATTCGTCATGTCAGCATTTAAGTTCCAATCCCTAAAACATCCTAGGGGGGTAACCCTAGTTATTCCTCTTCCTAAAAGGAAGAAAAGCTATTCCTGGCATATGTGACTGTGTGGTATACAAACAGGAGCAAAAGGCTTTATCCTGCTGCTACACAGCTTCCAGGGCCAACAGAAGCTTCTCCAAGATAAAGTAATGGTCAGATGGAAAAAAAAAAATGTTTGTGTTTCACCCTGGGTCAGACCTCAAATCCTGTCTTTCTCCAGCAAAACTCTTACTGCAGATGAACATGAAACCAAAGAGAATCCTGCCTGATATGGGCAGAGATTTTAGAAGATGGGCCTGGGTTTGAATTACTTTTCCCTCTTTGCGGGTTGATGCCTTTCAGTCTGATGAAAGCAGCACACAGAAAGTGATAGACAGAAGAAGGACAGCAAGAGGCTGCAAACACACAACCACATTATCACTTGGAGTTCAGAGCCGTGCTCTACAGATGGGAACAATAAGAAGCAATTATACACATCTGGGCTCCTGCTCTTTAAAATCAAAATTTAGATCAATAGATTTTGTATATAGCAAGCTGGAGGAGGCTGCTTGAGGTTCAGAACAGCAGCTGCATGCAGACTGCTGATATATTAAACTTCCATCATCTGAAGCTTTTTGTAATGTTTTTGAATCTCATATTAATGTTAACAAAACAGTCACATCA